AATGTGGGCTCAGGAAGATGAGTCTTCCTGACTCTAGGCCCGGTGCTCCATCCACTGTGCCACCTAAGTTTGTTAGGTGCTTTTCTCGTTACAACAGTAATTAATAGTAATAATTAATAATAATATATAATAACATTAATTAATTACAGTGGTGCAAGAATTATCATTCCTATTTTACAGGTGAAGAAACTAAGACTCAAGTGATTTGCCTTGACTCCTACAAGTATGTAGTATCATGTCTTCTGACCCCATGTCTAGGATTCTTTTCCATAGGTCACAAAGCATTTCTTGATGAACAGAAAAGAAGCATAGGTTATAAGAAACAGAAAATGCTACTATATTTATATCTGGCTTTGATATGCTTTCAGAGAAACATAAAAATCCTCTCTTGCCTGCTGCACTTCCTGATAAAGTCTCTGTCTTGGTTTGTTCCTACCTACTGCTAGTAGCACAGGACCCAGGTGAATTATTGCACATGAGTCACAAAATGGTCCATTCATTTGTAAATGCTTGAGAGTGGCCTGAAGTTTGATTGCGTTTGTTTATGTGGATCACATGACTCCTCAGAAGGAGGACAAACAAGCACATGAAAAGGTATCCTTAGCAACTCATCTTTTCTCTAGACTTAGGAAAATGGAAAATGTTGCTTGGGAAAGGTTTACTATAACAGGGTATAAATATATTAACCTAACATTATTTTCTGTCAAATAATTCAGTTGAATTTAAGTTCCTTAAGGTCAGAGACTGTTTTGCTTGCTTTCCTCTTCATGACATGCACATAGTAGGAACTTAATGAATTTGTGTTGAATTTAAGTGCTGTGTTTGTTTAGTAAATAGCAATTTTATGTGTAATAGAACTGGAAGCAATCCACATAGCCAACAATTTTCAGTAGGAAACAAAATTATCTTTAGAATGAGCTGAAAGGGACCTCAGGGACATTTAGTTCAACATCCTCATCTTACATCTGAAGAAACCAAGGTACAGAGAGGGTGACAGACACCTAGCATCGATAAAGATGCCACTTTTAGCCAATTTAGAAACATCTTTGGTAGGGAGTGTACATGATGATGAAAAATTTCACAGAATATGATATAAAAATGCTTTGTAGGCTCAAAGTTCTGTGTGTTCTAAAAGTTTCAGTGTAGTTTGAAGTTTTAACAACTTCAAGGGATACCTGTATCTACATGTATTTTGTGCATTTTTCCCTCATTTTCATCTTAATTGCATTAATGCCTTTTGTTTTTACATCACTTTCATTTCCAAATACATTCCTCCCTCTTCTCCTATCAACTAGCCACTCCCTATACTAAAGATTAAAAAAAGAATAAAACGCCAGCAAAACATCAGCCCTATTTGACATTATATGCGATATTTTACCCCATAGTCCCTTACTTCTGCATTTTTCTCAATGCTTCTTAGAGTATCTTAATCTTGGCGTGTGTTTTCTACCTGGCAGTGATTCCTTCCTCACAACTGTGTCCTATTTTCAAATGCCCTTGCAACATTTTGGGATAGGAACACTTGAGAATAAGCTTGGTTTTACTTTCTGTAGTTCACATCTGATCAAGTGTGGTCTTAGGTTTCAGGAGGAGAGCCCAAGAACCCAACCTGATCTTCCAAAAGGGAACAAACGGCCTGACAAGAGCTCTATTCAAGAAGTCAGAGAGGAAAGGAAAGAGAAAGAGGAGGAGGAAGGGTCAGGTCAAGTCTAAATGACACACTGTTGGATATGAATCTTAATCCCAAATGAGTCACTTTCCTCTCTCTGCTACAGAGGGAAATTAAATCTGCCTGTTGCTTTTTTCTTTCTGTGCTCACTGCACCATTAAAAAACAACAACAACAAACCAGCCCTAACTAGATGTCATTTCACATAGGGCCAGCAAAGCAATGCTTACTGAACACAGCTACACATCATGAAATAACACACTGACTTTTCCTGCATGCTGGCATAACCTCTTGCTTCAGTGAGATCCAGGGGCTATTTATGACTGTCTAATAGAGACAGATTGGACTAACTAGTAAACAGGAAGAAAGTGAATTTTACTATCTGCTCAGCAAATATTTATTGATTTACTAATGCCTACTGTATGCAGCTGCATCTGTATGCAGAGTATCATACTAGTTGCTGGGAGAGAAAAGTTTAGATCAAAAGATATAATCCCTGTTCTCATAGAACTTACCATCAAATGGGGGGTGGGCTGGGGGCAGTTTTCACACATTCATTGCAGTACAAAATAATTTAATAGTAATACTTAAAATACTTTAATAATAATAAATTTAAATAAATTTATAAATTTAGAGGGGAGATGGAGGTGAGGCAAAGTATTTCATAAGGTCCAAAGGGGGAAAGGTTATTACCTAGATGGACTCAGATGAATAAGGAAAGGTTTCCTGGAGGAGATGGCATTTGAGTTGGGCATTAAATGATGGGGCAGGTATTTAAGAGGGCAACTAGGTGGCACAGTTGATAGAGCGCTGGGCCTGGAGTCAGGAAGACCTGAGTTCAAATCCAGCCTAACTAGATACTTATTAGCTGTGTGAGCCTAGACAAGTCACTTAACCCTGGTTGCCTTAGTTTCCTCATCTGTAAAATGAGTTGGAGAAGGAAATGGCAAACCGCTCCAGTATCTCTGTCAAGAAAACCCCAAATGGGATCACAGAATTGGACACAACTGAAACAACTAAACAAGTATTTAAGAAGGCCTGGGTTTGGAGGCAGGTAGGTGGTGCAGTGGATAGAGCAGCAGCCCTGGAGTCAGGAGGACCCGAGTTAAAATCCTTCCTCAGACATAACACTCACTAGCCGTGTGAATCTTGGGCAAGTCACTTAACCCCAATTGCCTCACAAGAAAAAAAAAAAAAAAGAAGGCCTTGATTCAAATCCCATCTCTGACACGTAATTGGTTTATGATTAGCCCAGACCAAGTCACTTGACCTCTCCTCCTCCCCAAAGTGTCCTCAGCAACTCTAATAAGTCAGCAACAGTTGCCCATCTGCCCTGCACCTGGATAGAGTTTCTACACCAAGGAGTTCCCCACACTGATAAAATCACAAATCTGGAGCAGAAAAAAGGACATTCAATGGGCAAAGGAGATAGGGAGGAGGAAAAGATCTAGTCCTAAAGGCAGTTCTTTATCTTATTATAAACATCAAGTCAGTGTCCCAGGGGAAATTCCAGGCAGAAAAACAGCTGATGGAATTGTAACAATTTATTTTTTCCTAATGCTGCTGTCCTCCAAACATATAGAAGGCTGCACACATTTATTTTCCAGAGTGCTTTACCATTCTTGAAGCACCAGATGAATCCAGTCTTTTCTAGACTTCATGGTCAGGAGACCATGCTAATAAGGCCCTCTCCTTGTTGAGCAGCTGGTCCCTGACATGATATTTCCTGTTTTATTTTTGGCTTGTTCCACCGGATAAAGTGAGTCTCCCTTGCCCTTCTCCCCCCGACACACACAGACACAGCAGGCCACTGGAGGGCATAAGATTGATGGTGGACCAGGATGCCAGCTTTCCATAAGGAGTGGAATGGGACACAAAGTACACAGAGTATCTGAGGTGGATATCCAGTTTAGAACACATTTCAAACTCAAAAACAATTACCCCAGTGAGGAAAGGCAGAACTGTAATTAGCAATTTTTGCTCCTGAGGCAAAAGAGGTAGGCAGGGTGCAGATTCACCTGAGCTCCTTTGGGACACCAGCTATTAAACAACCAGCCAGGTCGGGGATAAAAGGGGAAGATAGCAGTGATGGAGCTGAGATAGAATTGCCAGGGGATGAAATTGTGCCTCTGCATGGTGCAGATGATACATTCTAAACTTTCCACTCTGAGGCAAAGCTCCCACCCTAGTCATGGTTCTGGGGATAGGCAAATCCTCTAGATTCCCCAGGCCTGAAGGTCAGGTTTAGAGACCTTCAACCACCCCCAACACCCCCCCCCCACCAACCCATGGAACACTAATGCCAAAAACAATTTTCTACAGCTGACGCAGTGATTGAAACAATATGTAGTTAGACCCTGTGTACCAGCCCTCCACAGTCGAATAGCATAAAACTCCACACTGCCAGTCTAACATGTACCTAGATGGAATTAAGGAATTCTTTAGGAACTGAAATAAGCTACAGTAGTTCATAGACATAGTGAATGGTTCAGTTAATCTTTGAAAAAGTCCTGTCACAATCTCCCAGAAACCAAGTCCATCTTTGCCTCAGAAGAAATAGGAGGCCAGATTTTGGTTCTCTCAAACAGAAACTTACAGGCTTTCTGCAACAGCATCACAATTTACGTTCTAAACGTCACCAAGCCAACAGTGTCTCTGCACTTACTAAGAGATATCTGTCAGGAAGCTGCAATTAAGAAATTGCTTCTTTTCCTTTTTCTTTTTTTTAAGGGTTGGGAACTTAGCAGCCTCACTGAACCCGAAGAAGATACATTTGTGGTTTCTGATGGCGGTGAAGCAGAGTTTGCAGGCATCTTAATTAGGAGTCCTTACAGGGCAGCCAAGCTCTTACTCACAGCAAATGACAGCTTTTCTCTCACATGGCGCCAGGTTTTCCTCGGAAACAGTGGGATGTTGCATAATTATATCCTCAGGTCAAAATGGGAGTAAAGTTGTTACCTTTCCTCTGATTTATTGGCAGGGGCGTGGGAGAGGGGGAAGGAAGCAAATTCCAACTCCATACCTATAACTCTCTGTCAGGACTTAATACAGAAGTGGGGTTTTTTTTTTGGTCCAGTCTTCTGATTAATTGGTATGGGGAATTTCCAGTGAGGAAACTGTCTCTGCCAATGTGCGTTACCAACTGCACTACAAGTTATGGTCTTTGAGAGTTGCCCAGGGTCACACAGCTAGAATGTATCAGAGGCAAGGTGAACTTAGGTCATCCTGACTCCTAAGCTATCCATTATAGCATGTATTACATTTTTTCCCCTCTCTTTAGATTAGGGTAATAACATTCCAAAAATAAAACTGCAAGGAATTTAGAGAGGTACCTGCGATTCATACGGGGTGTGCAGGAATAAAATGTAGCAAAATATGAGGGAGGGGGCACAGGTGGTACGAAATCTTCCAGGTCTGGAATGCGTCCATGTCCTTCTATTTCTTCTGTAGAAATCTGGGATTCGTCCTAATCAAACAATACCATGATTAGCCAATAGCTTCCGGCACCAGAGGAACACTGAACATACCAGTGAATTATGCAAGGAGGCCTGTGTATGGACTGCCAACAGTGCCTTGCACTCACTTACTATGCAGGGTCTTCGGGTGGCAAATATCTGTAGGTAACGCAGGGCAGCTGCCACCAAGCAAACCGTCGTGGTAAGGGCATTCAGGGCACACAGGGCGAAGAGGACTTTCTGAAGTGGGAGAGAAAAATGAAAACACCAGAAAATCATGGCTCAGGAATTAAATGTATTTGAAGCACATGACACTACACTACAGTTTAAAGAACAATTTAAATAAAACAAATTATTCCTTCAAGCATTTCTTTTCCTCATCTTATGAAACTGCTCTTTTGCAAGGGTTAGGAATTCAGGGGTTGTATAAATGTCACAAAAGTTTCTGGTCTAGGAAAGATCTAGTCCTAAGGGCAGCTCTTTAGCTATTATTATAAACTCAAGTTAGTGTCCTGGGGGAAATTCCTGGCAGAAAAACAGCTGATGGAATTGTGACAATTTTTTTTCTAATGCTGCTGTCACCATAGTCTGCAGGCTCCTTCTGTACCTTCCACTCTGATAGCATTCTATTTGATTTGCAACCTTTACTTTTATTTCATCGGCCACTGGATGGGATGTCCAAAGTGAAGCATCTGGCAACCAAGTAGACAGGACTGCGGGGAAATATGTTCTTCTCTTCTGCACAAGCATCTTAAAATAGCACCAAAGGGAACTCCAAACATTTCTGTTTTCATAACCCTGACTCCTAAGTGAGGGTTTTCCTCCAGAGATTCAGGAACCAGAGCAAGAAAAGGCTATTTCTTAATCCTATAAAATTCCAAAAAAACAGAAAGCCTCACAAAATTCCCAACTGCCTTCCCTCTAAGTGGGCCCTTTCTTACATAAATAAATATAATTTGAAGGGGTAGAGGAAAAAATTAAGGGAAAGGGAAATGAAAGAAGAAGGAAAAAGAAAAGAAAGAGAAGAGGAAAGGGAAGGAAAGAGGAAAAGGAAGGGGAAAAGGAAAGGGAAGGAAGAAAACAAAGAAGTGAAGGGGAAAAAGGAGAAAGAAGGAAGAAAAAAGAAAAGAGGGAAAGGAAAGGAAAGGGAAGAAAAGGAAGGAGAAAAGGAAAGTAGGAGAAGGAGAAAAGGAAGAAACTGAAATAGCTGGCTATATTAAAACTACTACCTAAGGTAGAGATGGAAGAAATTGATGATATGCTCATCATCTGATGTTATTGCTAATGTCTTTTCACGGGGAAGTTGTTGTTGTTCCATTGTTTACTTGTGTCTGACTCCTTGTGACCCTGCGGAGGATATCATGCCAATATTGTCCATGGGGTTTTCTTGGGAAAGATATTGGAGTGCTTTACCATTTCCTTCTCCAGTGGCTTAAGGCAAACAGAGGTTAAGTGACTTGCTCAAGGTCACATTGGTAGTAAGTATCTGAGGCCAGATTTGAACTCAGGTCTTCCTGACTCCACAGGGAATAGCTTTGGCAATTTCATTAATCCGTTTTACACTTCTGTTGTTATCTATTTTCTGAATTTAGGCCTTCTCAACTTATAACAATAATAATACATAGCATTTAAGTATCACTTTAGGGTTTGTAGAGCACTTTACAAATATTATCTTATTTCCTCTTCACAACAACTCTGGGAGAAGGGGCTTTTGTTATCTCCATTTCACAGTACAGGAAACTGAAGCAGACAGAGGTTAAGTGACTTGCCCAAGGTCACATAGCTAGTAAGTGGCTGAGGCTGTATTTGAACACAGATCTTCCTATCTCCAGGCCTAAATGCTCTATCCACTCTGCCACCTAACTGCCTTACAATTCTAGATTACAATGGGTGCCTGTTAAAAAAAAGAAACGCTTGAATTTCTCTGATATTTCCTTCATAGAATGATAGTTCTTAACAATCCATGAGGCCTTCCTTTAGCAAGCAAATTGTTATCCTGCGGGATAGAGCTGTAAATGGGCACTATGACTGCTAACTTTACTAATAGCTCTTTCCTACTTTATTAGTCCCAAATTCAAGGGCTATAATATGTCCTATACTCAGTGTAACAAAAGACGAAAATACCATTTTACACATAGATAGACACACAAATATTCTGGGCTCCTCATAACTACCCTGCACAGCTTGACCACTATGAAGAATATAAAAGAGTAATTCTCTACACAATTTAAGAGGATACAATAATCTCTGGCCTGTGGAGTTCTCTTCCCATTATTTCTATCCCTGATTCCCTGATGGGCAGCTCCTTATCTCTGCATCTAGCTAATTAACTGTTTGAGGAGGGTGCTTGGTTAAAAAACATAACAAGCCCCATAATTATAATCGCAAACATTTTTGTAGCCCTTTAAAGTTTGCATTGTCAAGCAAAAGACCATTTCAGGGTTGCCATCCATTTTCGTGTACCTTTAATAGAAGGTGAACAGCACTACATGGCTGGACTGGGAAGAGTTTCAACACGTTTTCTTTGTCTGTACATTTGGTAGGTTGAAATTCTTCACAGCAGAAGCAAATCTTGCCTTCCCCTAGATCCACCTTGGGGACAAAAAGTAAGACAATGTTTTAATTTACAATGATAACCCCCTTTTCCCAGTACCCATACATTTAACATTAATGTACAGGTTATGCCATGAAGAACATGTTCTGTATGATGCAATCAACAGTGTTCCAAGTTGATCAAAGCAATCAACAAGCATTATTAAGAACTTGCTACATGTTAGGCACTGTACTTGTTGCTCAGGTTACAGCTATGAAAATGAGATGCTTCCTGCCCTCAAGCAGCTTATATTCTACTCACTTACTGCCTTCTTACCCTGGAAGACCCTTCCCCTTATTACCCTCCACCGTGCCAACTGTCTTCTCCCACTAGTGAGTCCTTTCTGGGGCTTCCATTTTGGGAAGGGACCCAGGCAGGCTACGCTCCATTCTCTTCCCAGGTGTGTCTTATTCTAAGGCCTTCATGACCATGCTCTCACATGGTTACTTTCTTCCCTCTTACCTTTTTTTCAACTCCCTTTTAGGTGTTGTCTTCCTCCAATAGAATGTAAGCTCCACGAGAGCAGGGACTATCTTTCTTTTGCTTGTATTAATATCCCCAGAACTTCCTAGCATGCTTAGCACATAGTAAGTACTCATTAAATGTTTGTTGCATTAAACTGGATTTTCTAAGCTTCTGTGAGAAGGTCTCTGAGTCAACATCTTCAATCCTGGCATGTCTTCCAGAAGATGTTTGTCCTGTTTCTTTGCAGTAGTGATTAGCTATTAGTTTCTTTAATATGACTCCTGTATCTTTCTTCAATTCTCATTGATTAAAGCTCTGTGGCTTCAGGAACATTTCCTAATGGATGGATTCCTAATTTTCAGTCTTGTCTCCATATTGCTCTTTTCCTTGAGGTACTGGAGATGACAACATTTCCTCTTAACAGAAGACTAGAGCTATGGAACCATAGGGTTTGGGCATTAAAGAGGCAGTGTGGTATTTTGGGAAGAGCACTTGGTAAGGAGTTCCAAGACCAGGGTGTCCTGCATTTGCCACTTAACTACTCCTGTGACCTTGGGCAAGTCCCCTATCATCTCTGAGCCAATTTCCTTATCTGGGTCTGATACCTACTCCACTTACTTCACAAGGTTTTTGTGACGATCAGAAAAGATGAAGTTTTTCTCTCCACTCAGCAGCTAAAATAGTGGACCCAGCAAATGATTATCGGAAATATTTACAGAAGCTCTTTTTGTGGGTGGCAAAGAAATAGAAACTAAGTGGGGGGGGGGGCTGTACTCCTCAATTGGGGAATGGCTGAATAAATTGTGGTATGTGAATGTAATAAAACATTGTGCCATAAGAAATGATGCAGAAGCAAGAGAATAATTTATATAGTAACAACAATATCATAAGGACAATAAACTCTGAAAGAGTTAACTCAAAATAGTTCAATGGCCAACCACAATTTGGGAGCATTCTAACACACACTGAGTCACAGAGGCAATGAATCAGGTTAAAAATAAGAAACTTCTATTTTTGACATGGCTGATAGGAGAATTTGTTTCACTTAACTATCCACATTTGTTTAAAGGGGTTTTCTCCCAATGAAGGAAGAAGTGAGAGTAAGAGAAAAAAGTTTTGTTTACAAAAAAGTAAAATAAATTTTTAAAAATAATTTTTTGAAAAATAAAAAAATTAAAAATTTACAAATAAATATTTTGAAAAGTAAATAAATTTTTAAAAATAAAAGAATACCATATGTGGTAATACTTTATAAGTTGAAAAGTGCCACATATTTGTATTATTAGAGATCATTTTGTTCAATGCCCTCATTTTCTAGTTGAGAGAATGAAAGTTCAGAGAAGTTAAATGCTTTGCCTAAGGTTATATAGCTACTTTGGTGAATAGGGGAGCAAGGGCCTGAAAAGCTAGGAGAAGGGAATCTAAGGGACTCTACTATGAGGAAAAAAAACATGAGTTTTTAGTATACAGACTTCCCGACCTCTATTCGACTGCCCAGAGAGCTTTTTTACCTTCTGCCAGATCCTCAGCCATCTTTCCCATAAATGAGGTCACCGGATTTCTGAGTTCTGGATAGAAGTGTTATTATATATTTTAAAGGGTTGTTTCCTCCTATATCATGGTAGAATAATAATTTAACTGAGTAATTTAAAAAAACTGTTTAAGAGAGAGTACTTTGACAATATCAACTTCTTGCTCTCAATTGAAGTAGACAGTTATTGATTATGACAGTCAAATCCATCTCTTCACAAACTAATGATGCACGATATTATTGATGTTACTGAAGTTATGCCTGGCTGGTTCTCCTGTTTAAAAAAAAATGTGGCAGAGTTCAATAAGCTAACAAACTTTTTTTTTTCTTCCTTGGCCATCCTCAGGTTTTGCTTCAAGGGTTTTGTTACAAATGCCAAATATCAATACTTTTACATACCAGGAAAGACAGACATGAGACCTTTAGTTCATAAGTACACTGGGTTTTAAGGTCGGCTCACCAGATCACACCTGGGTACACTGGACACAAACTGGGCCCCCTGACAGCCTAGGATAAATCCGGCAAGGTTCAACAGGACGCAGACCACAGACAGTAAGACAAAAAGGTTCACCTGAAACAATAAAAGATGGGCCCACAATCGTTAAAGGATGGTAATAAGATTCAATGAGGTAGCTTGGGTTGAATATAAAATGGGAGAATAATGTCTTAAAGGATCTTTTTATAAAAAACAGCTGTATTTTAAATACTGTGCAAAGTTGTAAAAATGTGTATCATCCAAAATAGTGATCAACGTTACCTCTGTTCCTCCAACCAACCTCCTATCTTCTCTCAAATGACTTCAAGTCTTTATCTTCCCTATTCCTTCCTGTCTCTAATTAATTTTCATTTCCTTAAATTCAGTTTGATAACTACTGACATAATGAACATCTAGTATGTGTATTTTTATTAATGTATAATATTATATTATAAATATAAATGTATATTTATAAATACCTACTCTGGTCTAGGCACTGGGAGAATGCAGAAGAATAAGGCAAGGTCCCTACCCTCAAGGAGCTTACAATCTAATAGGGAAGATAAGATAGGTAAACTATAAAAATAGGATATGACCAACAGATATGAGAGGTAAGAAAGGACAGGTGTTTTTCCTTTATCTCCTTAAGTCCTAGTTATAGTTTCCCTAAGTCTCTAACTTGACCAAGATGCTTGGGGGTAGTTAATAAATAGCTAAAGCAGGACTTCCTAATTATTTTGGGTTTTGTAGACCCCTCTGGCAGCCTGGTAAAGCCCATGGACCCTCTACTCAGAATTACTTTTTTTAAATGCAAAAAATAAAATACATAGGATTACAAAGGAAACCAATTATATTGAAACAGTTCTCAAAATATTTTTAAAAACAAATTCACAGACCCCCAAATTAAGAATTTCTGATGAAAGTAAGGAAGAGGGAGAAGAGAGGAAACCAGTGACCAGAGTGGCAGATCAAGGCTTTGTAGAAGAAAGGTTTTGAAAGTAAGCAGTCAGAGACAGTCAGGATATGCCTGGCATAAACTTATTGCAAAAGACAAGCCCAGAGGCACAGGCATAAAAGAAATTAACCTGAACTGGAAAGAAAATCAAGCAGGAAAAAAAGTCTGTTAATCTAACCCACAACAATTTTAGTCCCTTCACCCTGCTGATGGTTCTTTGCCATCAGTCCAGTCGATGGAAAGACATTCTTTTTTTTTGAGGCTGATGGATGTTTTGAAACTATTCACATGCATTGCATTTCAAATATCTGTAACTCTTCTAAGAAATGGTTTATTCCACTAATGTTTTAAACAGAATTTCAAATAATCTAATCATTTTTATACTTTACTTAGAAAATCAGAAGTTAATTTTTAAACAACCTTATCAACTTATACAAACGGGTGCATGAGAAAGATTTTCTATTGATTCTCCTGCTCTTAAAAGCATAACTTGAAAGACAGGCCCCATAGTAATGTCTGAAATTTGCCAAATTTCGGACTCTTAAACAAAACAGGTCTTTGGGGTTCTCAGACAGAAAACAGTAATAATTGGAAGAAAACAAGTTTTACCCAGACTGCTTCTTGAACACTGATATTTATGAATAACATGTTACAGGCAGTAGCTGTGATTCAGAAGCTTGACTGGAATTTTATCTTCCCATTCTTTCCTCTCCTTTAAAACAATCAATCCTATTCACATAACAGGCATTTTTGAGGTTTGGGGAAACAGCAATCGGAGACAGGCAGGACACATCTAGTGCCAGAATGTCTTTGTATTTACCATGGTTACACAATAAGCAAACTAAGATAAAAAATACAGTCTTTATTAGGGTCTCTGCTGAAGAGAGTTTAGGCACCAGGGATTAAATAAAACGATTTTCCCTATAGTTTTCTCCAGAGCTAGATATTTACAAATACAACCCTATATAATTATAAATTGATCAGCCTTAGCCAAGCAGCCCATATTTGATATTGTAAACCAAGAACTATGTTTTCTTTTTCACTTGCCAACTTCAATCTTGATGATAATCAGACTAATTCATTTCACAGTAAAGGCAAATCTTACGTAGGGTCAAGGATTTTAAAGTCTATCCCCCTCTCCAATTACAGAAAGCTGTGTGATACAGTGGGCAGCTGCGTGGTACAATGGATACAGTGCCAGGTCTGGAGTCAGGAAAACTCATCTTCCTGAGTTCAAATCTGTCCTCACATACTTACTAGTTGTGTGACCCTGGGCAAGTCACTTAACCCTGTTTGCCTCAGTTTCCTTATCTGTAAAATAAGTGGTGAAGGAAATGGCAAAACAGTACCCCTGCCAAGAATACCCCAAAAGGGATCACAAAGGGTTGGACACAGCTGAAATGACTCAACAACAACAACAGGTTGTTGTACTGGGCCTGGAGTCTGGAAGACCTGAGTTCAAGTTTGACCTTAGACACTTGCTAGCTGTGTCACTCTGGGCAAGCCACTAAACCTGTCTGTCTCATTTTCCTCAGGTGTAAAATGGGGATAATAATACATAGTACCAACCTCCCAGAGTTGTTGTGAGGATAAAATGAGGTCATATTTGTGCCTAGCACATAGAAAAGCACTGAAACTTTTACTTCCTTCCAATTTATCCTCTACAGAGCTGACAAGTTGACATTTCTAGTCACCATGTCATTCTTAGCTTGAGCTTCAGTGGTTCCTCATGGCTTTACAATACACTACAAACTCCTCTAACATTGAAAGCCCTTCACAATCTGACTACAATTAATTATGTCCAGGCTAGTTACACACACATGCACACACATATGCACACGCATTCAGTCTACTTCATCCAGACTGGCCTACTCTCCATTCACCGCCCACAAACTTCCATCTCCTGCCCTCGCCTCTTTGTCCAAGCTGTTTCTCATGCCTGAAATGCTTTTTGTCTTTATTTCTACTTCTCAGAACCCCTAATTCCCTTCAAGACTCAGTTTACCTGCTGCCTCCTTCAAGATTTTCCTGATTTCCCCAGTTGTTGGTGCTACCTCCATATTGATGTCAACGTATTTTGTATATATCCTTTATTTCCGTGTCTATGAACATGGTATAGAATGTAAGCTCCTAAAGCCAAAGATTATTTCACTTTTGTACTTGTAAACCTAACATCAAGCACAGCACTAGACAATTAGTAGTAACTCTAATTCTGAGGCACTTAATAAATTGATTGACTGATTGATTAAAGCCCTCATGTTAGGCAAAAATCTCCCTCAAGTAGGGCTGGACGCTAGGTGAGGCTATACAAGGTGCCCTCATTTTCTCCTTGCCTCTTCTTTCTTCCATCTCCCACCCTCCTCCCTCTTCTTTCCCAAAAAAGAGTTGGAAGAGATGGTCAATGAATGTACAATGTGTGTGTTAGGGAAACTCTGGACAGGAATTCTGCCCTTCCTGTGGTTAACCCAGGTTAACCCAGCATCATCAGGCTTTGTAGGGCACAGGACATGTGGTTTACAGAAGGCCTACTCCCCCAGTGCTACTGCATAGTTTTATATATGCATAACCCTAGACAATAATATGTATGCACATTTTGCTCTCTCTCTCTCCCTCTCCTACTCTCTCCCCCTCCCTCTTCCTCTCTCTTCCTCACTTTCCTTCTCTCTCTTTCCTCTTCCTCTCTGTCTCTCTCTCTCTCCCCTTTCCCCTACCCAGGCTCTGTCTCTTTAACCCAGCCACACTGTACTGGCCTAAGCACAATCCCCAAATCATATATAAAACCATACTATTCAGTGGTTTAAACTCATCCATCATTATGTTCAATGATTATCATCACAAAGACAAAACTCAGTACTCAATTGAGAAAATTCTTGTGGCAGAGGTTTTTGAGTTTGTAGACTAGGTCTAATAAAGACAATCACGGACTTTAGGACATTTGTGATTTTAGGCAATATACAAAAGCATTTCTCCCCTCCTCTGACCTCCTTTTCTAGCTGTATCTCTGTGAATAGGTATCAGATCAATACTGCCATTCCCAAAAAGGTCATGTCAATCGATGGCTCTGACTCCTCTTACTATTTCTCTGCTTTCTTGTTCAAAACATTCCTTCCTGGCCACTACTTGCCTATATGTGTGGCCTTCCCCTCTTAGAACAGAAGGTTTTTGAAGGCAGGGAACTGGGAGATTTTGGGGGGTTTTTTTGTTTGTTTGTTTTTGTCTTGGTAGATTTTCTTAAGGAAAAATTCCTACCTAGCACAGAGTGTTGAACACTTCTGTTGTTGAATCATTTCAGCCACGTCTGCCTCTTTGTAATCCCATATGGGGTTTTCTTGGCAAAGATGCTAGAGTGGTTTGTGATTTCCTTCTCCAGCTCATTTTACTGATAAGGAACTGAGGAAAACAAGGTTAAGTGACTTACCCAGGGTCACACAGGCTAGTATCTGAGACTGGATTTGAACTCATGAAGATGAGTCTTCCTGATTCCTAGCCCAGTGCTCTTATCTCCACTGTACTATGCTGCCCACATAGTTAGTATTAAATACATATGTTTGAACCTCAAATATTTCCTGAATATTTTAATTTGATTTCCTAAAGCCTATAATATTTCTCCAATATTTAAGATTATATTATATCCCTGTTTCCATAGGTGAAATTTATATAATATTTTAGGGCTTTATAAAGTATTTTATATCCATTCTCTCATTTTATCCTTACAGCAACTTTGTGAGGTTATTACATCCATTTTAGAAATAAACAAGGGCCAGAGACAGAATTTGAATTTAGGTTTCCTGGATTTTACGTTTATTTAAGTTGGACCTAAATGGAAGACATGAGGTTCCCCAGATGTTCCTATCTGCTGATGACGTTGTGCATACCCCATAATCCTGAAAGGCTTCTTCAACGAAACCCAGAGTCACTCAAATGAGACTAACTTAGCAATCCACAAAGGAAAAACTAAACGAACAAAGAAGGCAGACCATTCTGATTATGGCATGCAATTAGATGGACAGCCCCATCAAGCTGGCCCATTAGATAATATCTCTTAGATAGGGGCTGTTGCTGGTGAATGAGCTGGACCCCAAACAGAACAGGAGAAAAGAGGGGGCTCAATAACATCTCAGAAATTAATGTGGCCAATAGC